AACAATTATTATTAATAAAGATGGCTTCCCTTTGAGAAATTTTTGTGGCTTTCGTGCTATTTTTTCTGCGAATCAAGGGATTTGACTCACTTCACAATAATAAAGCGAACGCTAGTATCTACAAATTTAACAATTTTTATAAATTTCTGCAGGCACGTGACCTATACCAATGATTCTGTCAGGTTTTACATGCGAATATCTTTATTACGTGGATAAAATTATCACTATCGTTATTACTACTGCATCATATTTAATAATTGTGGCAGATTAAAGTGAAATCAGATTAAAAATGAAATTTAAAATAGACAAGCCACCGAAAAATACAGATTTTGGGTATATTTTTTTAAGGGTAAGGGTTAGCTTTAGAGATATAAGTGGGTTTTAAATAGAAACAACAAATTTCATTACAATAATTATTCAAAGTCAGATTAGTCAAACTGAAGTTTCATTTCTTCTCTTAGAAAGTCGTTATATTCACACCGCTTATATATTCTCTCTGCTACTTTTTTGCATGTCTTACAATATAGATGTAAATGGTGATCACATTCGTCACAAACCTCTTTTTCTCATATATTCGAAAAAAAGATTATATAGTTATCCCATATATTGTAACCACGGTTTAATGAATATATATCAGAAAAAAGTACCGGTAATCTATATTTATCTGGACACGAACTTGTGAGTAGACAGGGGATATGCCACTTTTCAATGTAATTGTCTTTTTTTATTTGTTAATGCATTATCACTATTTGGATTTTTCATTATTACAGAAAAAATAATATATGTGGCTAAAACTTTTATTATACAAACTGTGGGCACTTGTATTTGTGACCCATTTACAAACAAATTATGTATAAGCCTTATAAGATTCCTGTTTGTCTTTTTAATTTTTCTACTGAAATCGTCATCCGATCTTCTGGGTAGTGGAGGTGTAGGAAATATATTGTGAAATATTTAATTATATGAATCTACACATGACATCGCTCCCTTGAAACCTATTATAACATGATATGATTTACTTCACTTTGTGGCTATATATAAGATCATCAATCTCGATAATTAACTTTATCTTTTACTTTACACTTTCGAATAGGGTATTTTTTTACTGCTCTAGTCTTATGCGCATGTGTAACTTCTATTTCTGAACTAGATGTGGAAGAATTACTTGAATCGCTGTCTGAAGTATCTGAATTAGAAGAAGCATCCGTAGAATATTTGACCTTATTTTTCTTACTCTAATTTTTAGAAACATTGTCATTTAATCTTCTGGATGGTAGATGTGTAGGAGGTATATTGCAAAATATTCGTTGCTTATTAGTGCAAAGCAATGACCCTTTGGGTCTATCTCCAATATTTGAGAGAATTTTGTTAATTATATTCATAATCTCCTCTTGAGCTAGACCAGATTTAGATTCTGTTGATTTAGATAAATTATTTTTAATGAAGCTGGCTTTATTAAAATCTTCATCGAATAATGGGATGCTCATATCATCTATTACAATTTTAGTATGGCAGACACAGGTTTTGGGAGAACGTCCAAAGCTTATTTTTGCTTCACATCCATAACCAATCTTGCCCCAACACCAGATCGAATGATGGATTTTTGTGAATCTGAAAGTCTATTAATTAAGTGAAATCTAAGCTTTGCCACTTTCCTTTATACTGAAATTGCAAATCTAAGCCTTTTATTTCTTTACCGATCAATTCATCGTCAGATAAACATACCAACCCATAATCTTCTTCAAGCTTATCAAACAAGCTCTTGCTAATGGTATTAAACTTCGACGATGTATCAATTAATGCTTTTACTGAGATTTTTCCTTCTACGAGTGTTTCTATGAAAACCATGAATCTCAAAATACTAATGATGCAATATCTAGTATTGTTAAGCAAGTATCGGGTAAAAAATCTGGATCTCTTTACCGATTACTGGAGATAGTGAAACCTGAGATTCAGCAGAATATTATAAATCCAGACATTTCTCAAAAAAATCGTACACTATGTAAGACTAAAAGAAAAAGAAAATTTTAAGTGGCAAAGCTGGAAAAAAACTAATTTTTAATAATACCGCATCCGAATCCTTCTCTTTATCCAAATCTGAGTCTGACTCTGAATCTTCTAATGATAATGAAAATTTTATTGTAGATACAGTAAAAGTGAAGAAGTGTGGTTAGTCTTTATCATAGATTTGAAACGGTCTTGCTTGCTCTGGAGTCTGTCTCTTTTTCTGATAATTTACTACAACATAATTCTGTATCGGAGAAGTATGGTTGTCAGATGTGTGACGTAAGGCTTTTCTAGCGATTGCATAGCATGCGCT